CGCGAAACTACCGACTCTCCTGACCGTTCCGGACAAAGTGGAAATTAAAACGAATCGCTCGCTAAACTTTCGAAACTTCGTACAGATCGCGAGGACAAGCATCGAGGCGGCCGGCAACGATGAGAAAACGATCAGCTGGCGTCCTTGCGGGGTGAAAATTGCGGCGCCGCGGAACGCCAGACACCGGTCATTAGCTCATTATCGTGCTGGCAGCAGCTACCAGTGCCGCCATCCAGTGCGTCTCGTCTCTCTTTCTCTTGACGACGCCGCGGCCCGTCGCGTAGGTCGTTTCGCCTCTCCGTGGCTTCACGCAGGCGTCGCGCAAGTGTATCGGTTACTGCGTGCCGGCGTACGTGAACGAAATAACGCCGGAACGCCACGTGGACTGGACAATGTCCACCGGACGTGCCGGTGGCCTCGGATCGGACTAATGAAACCGACCCGGTGTCGTAGAATGGGACGAGACCCCGCTACCGATGCACACGCCGCTGAATAGCGATCGAGGGGGCCGCGATCAAAGAGCTTCAATTTACAACGAATAAGGTGTCTCGATATCCTTCCTCCTCCTCCATTTTTTTTAATATACATTCCGTCTCCCTAACGAACTTTTTATAAACCGCCTGGTCGAAATGTCGCGAACGCCCCTCCTAACGCGTTAACCAACATATAAAATTGTTATGCTCGAAACGGGCCAACGTCCACGGGTATAATTTAATTCCCTCCCCTATCCGAGAACGACATCTTCCGAATTAAATCAGACGTAGCGTGACTTTGAGAAAGTCTAAAGTGCTTGGACGTACCTTTCCTGAGGGTCCACTGATTTCGCCGCTCGACAGATATAATCTATATATTTTCTCCTTTTTCGAAAATAGATTGTAATTCAAGTTGGAATTCCTCGGGGTTCGAGGGTCCCGGGATCTCTCGTTTTCTTTATAGGGAATAGCTTGTGAATGAAGCCTAAATTGGGCCTCTGAGAATGTGTGTACAAACTGGTATTTCCTGGTTGGACGCCCTGTTTTCTTCCCTTCAAATTAATGGGCTCCAAATTACTGGAGAAGGTATAGGGGTCTGCCTCTTTCGGAACCAAGTATACCAGGCACGCCAAACACGCGGCTCTGCGGGCCTCGGCCCGTTGTTTCTTTTACGCTCTTTGCTTTATCGTGCCTAGTTTTGTCACTCGCCCCATACCCACCCAACGATCATCTCCATTGGTAATTCGAAATAAAAATTATAGGTACTACCGGCAATGGTAACAAGTCCAGAATGTGATCCGATCAGAAAATAATGAAATGTCCGTTGCGAGTCACTGTGTGCGTCCTGGCAAGCTATTTCCAGGCGGTCGAATCACCGTGAATATATCGAATATGTGGACGCAGACGGCGGCGGTGGCGTCGCAACTCGCGGTGAATTACCTTAATAGTAGACCACACTCGGAAGTCGACGTGTTAATCCGGTCGCTTTGACTCGAGCAGCGCGGTTCTGCATTCAGATAGGTTTGAATTCAACGATACTAATCGCGATTTTCGCCATTCGGGCGCAACGGGGCTCGCCTCGGCGCGAAAATTGTACATCAAGCGGCCAAAGTCGGATTTATGCGCTCTTATTCGAGTCAATCCGCGAAAGAGCTGCTGATATCGCGTTTTACGGCTCGCTTTGCGGTAATAAAACTATTTCGCCGAGAGATTGAAAAACGAATAACGCGTCTACTGGCTTTTGAATTACTTACGGGTCCGTGCGAATCTACGCTCCGCTCCGCTCGCGGCCGAGATAACATTTTCACTCACCTGAAATCAGACGAAACATAACGTTAGTAACGCGTTAACGAGAGCATGGACATTAAACGAATACGTTATCAAATGCATTTTTCGACGCGTAGCTGACAGAGAAAAATGTAAAAATTTTGTAAATTTGGGGACACACAGGGCACGCGTAAAAAAAAGTAAACGATCGACGGAAATAAGATCTTTCGTCGATCTTTTGTCCGTTGCGAGCAGTAGGTTACGAACAAAGTATTGAATCGTCGGGGGCGTTTCGATAATAAAGAACGCTGGTTCGAAGAGACGAGAGCCGAACGGATAGAAATAAAAATTTTCATTCATCCGTCGGTTCCCCATCGAGAGCAACCAAAGCGCCTAATACAATCGTCTAGAGAGCCTGCAGGATCCGGAAACAAAACGCTAATTGTTTCGGATCGTCTGACGACCTGCTAGTGGCAGACTGCGAGTATAGCTTGCAATGAAAAGGGTAACGACGACTATTCCCCTCTCTGCTTGATATTCAAAGGGGAGTCATCCTCCAGGATGTCTCGCGTGCTTGGGCTTACATAATACACGCGTCGGAGGAGGAGGAGTAGGAGAAGAAGGAGGGGGATCGCGATTATTTGCTCGGCTGCAATACTATCTATATCCGCACCGATCTGTGTTTGCCGTTCCCATGTTGACAAGCGTTCTACGCTCGGACTAAGCACGATGAACCGTTTATATTTACCCACCGTGGGCCGGTTTACACTCCTGCCGGACCGTTGCAGTTGCACGGTGCTCGTGTATCTATAACGCTGTCACCACCACCCCCGTGTGTCACCGTGGAAATAAAATTTCACGGGAGTGACCCCGCCCGACGTGAAACGTTTAACTGTTCTGGCTTATTAACGATTACCTAATTGCGCTACGCTCTTTGCACGGGATATCCAAGAGATCGGCCCCCGGTACACAATATCGAAACAGTTTAGAATGGACAGTGATCTTTTGCCTTCTCGCTCTTGAACAACTGAAATTCGACCACACGTCGACGGCATACCGATTCCAAGTCTCGACTGCCCAAGTATTTTTTATATGTACATATACATATGTATATCATTTCAGATATCACTTCTGATACATCTGGCAACGTATAACCATTATTGCTGGCTACTACCAGCCTCTCACAGCCTCTGCTGGCTTCTGCTGGCCATTGCTGACCACACCTGATACTTCCGACAACGTATAACGATTACTACTGGTTACTGCCAGCCTCTCCCAGCCTCTGTTGGCCTCTCCTGACCATCGTTTATATTTCTGACAACGTATGACGATTACTACTGGCTACTGCTAGCCTCTCCCAGCCTCTGCTGGCCTCTGCTGGCCTCTGCTGGCCTCTGCTGACCATCGCTTATATTACTGACAACGCACAACGATTGCTACTGACTTCTGCCAACCTCCGCTGGCCTCTGCTGACCGCTGCTGACCTTTCCTGGTATTTCTGACAACGTATGACGATTACGACTGGATACTGCCAACCCTTCCCAACCTCTGCTAGCCTTTGCTGACCACCGCTTATATTACTAACAACGCACAACGATTACTACTGACTTCTGTCAACCTCCGCTGGCCTCTGTTGACCGATGCTGACCACTCCTGTTACTTCTGACAACGTATAACGATTACAACTTGCTATTGCCTGCCCCTGCTGGTCTCTGCTTGCCTCTGCTGTCCCCTGCTGTCCCCTACTGACCACTGCTGACCACACCTCATACTTCCGACAACGTATAACGATTGCTACTGGTTACTGCCAGCCTCTCCCAGGCTCTGCTGGCCTCTCCTGACCTCCGCTTATATTTCTGACGACGTATAACAATTACGACTGACTTCTGCCAACCTCCGCTGGCCTCCGCTGACCACTGCTGACCACCCCTGATGCTTCCGACAACGTATAACGATTACAACTTGCCACTGCTTGCCCCTGCTGGTCTCTGCTTGCCACTCCTTGCCACTGCTGGCCTCCGCTGGCCTCTGCTGACCACTGCTGACCACCACCGATGCTTCCGACAACGTGTGACGATTACTATATGTTACTGCTTGGCCCTTCTGGCTTCTGCGCCCCCTGCTGGCCCCTGCTGACCACTGCTGACCACTGCTGACCCTTGTTAACAACTTCTGCCATGATATATATGTATTAAAACATTGTATAATGTAAATCTATGGCAATAAATGATATAATTACAAAGAATTCTATGTGTTCTCATCATTTTTACCTTTCTTTTCCTCTCCAAATCATTACCTTAGTTATAAGACTCCCTAAAACTCCTTGGTTTCCCTGAACCCACTAGGAAGTCCCGAACCAGCTGGAAAGTCCTGAAACAGCTGGAAAGTCCTGAAACTCAGAACTTTGCTAAAAATTCAGGGTTTCCAAGAAATTCCAGGACTTCCCAGTTGTTTCAGGGCTTTCCAGCTGTTTCAGGACTTCCCAGCTGTTCCAGGTCTTTCCAGCGGTTTCAGGGCTTTCCAGCTGTTTCAGGACTTTCCAGCTGTTTCAGGACTTTTTTGGGAAATCGGCGAAATTTTCGAGCAAAAATTTTTTGACGAAAAAAATGAATTCTCGATTTTGCCAGCAGGTACGAGAGTGACGGTTACAGAAAAAAAATTTAAAAGTTAATTTTTGACTTTGGCAGCCAGTACGAGAGCTGGACACTTTGGGAATCCAATTTTAACCAGAAAAACGGTCTCTTAAAACTAAGGCAATGATTTGGAGAGGAAAAGAAAGGTTAAAATGATGAGAAGACATAGAATTCTGTTAAATTATATCATTTATTGCCATAGATTTACATTATACAAGGCTTGAATACTTATACATCATGTCAGAAGTTAATAACAAAGGTCAGCAGTGGTCAGCAGTGGTCAGCAGAGGGATGCAGAGGCATGCAGAGACCAGCAGTAACAAGTAGTAATAGTTATACGTTGTCAGAAGCATCAGGGATGGTCAGCAAAGGCCAGCGGAGGCTAGCCGTGGACAGCAGAGACCAGCAGTGGCAAGCATTGACAAGCAGCGGCAAGCAGTAGCCAGTCGTAATCGTTATACGTTGTCAGAAATACCAGGAAAGGTCAGCAGCGGTCGGCAAAGGCCAGCGAAGGTTGGCAGAAGTCAGTAGTAATCGTCATACGTTGTCAGAAATATAAGCGGAGGTCAGGAGAGGCCAACAAAGGCTGGGAGAGGCTGGCAGTAACCAGTAGTAATCGTTATACGTTGTCGGAAGTATCAGGTGTGGTCAGCAGTGGCCAGCAGAAGCCAGCAGAGGCTGTGAGAGGCTGGTAGTAGCCATCAATAATGGTTATACGTTGCCAGATGTATCAGAAGTGATATCTGAAATGATATACATATGTATATGTACATATAAAAAATACTTGGGCAGTCGAGACTTGAGGTCGAATTTCAGTTGTCCAAGATCGAGAAGGCAAATGTGAGCCTTCCTCTCTCGACTCCCACGAGGCGGACCGAAAATACTTCGGGCAGCTTCGGAGAATCGAGAAAAAGGGCATGCGTCAGTTTGTCTTTGTCGACTTTCCGTAACTCCACGAGGTCACGTACGCGTGATCTGGCATGTGTGAGTAGGGCACCGTCGGTGCTTTTCTGGCACCTCTGCAGACGGGGAAGCCGCGATCTGCGACGATGCGTCTCGGAAGCACGCGCGCGTCTCGTGTGTCGGCCCTATTACACGCCACATTACCACTGTCAATATACGCGCGCACGCACAATAACGGTTATTAGATATGGCCTGGCCGTTTACGGGGTTTGCCCTACGCATTACCGACCATCACCCACAGAATCGACCGTCTAAGCGTAGTTCCAGGACAGTGGCCAGCCACGGTGACGGGCATGCGGGCCCGCCGAGCCTTTTCTTTACCTTTCAGGTAAACATCGGGGAAACGTTGCTCGCTATTTTTGCTTTCGTACAGAAGAAACTCGTCGAAAAGAAATCGGGAAAAGGAGGTTTCGTGCGCGGCAACCTAATATGTCCCGCGAACAATAGATTCGCCTGAAATCAGTACGTTCCCGGAGTAGGAAACCTTCGAAATTGCATACCGGTTGTCGTGGTGTTGGTCGGGCAGCGGCAGATCACTCCCTCGTCGCATCGTATCCGCGAGCAACCCCCGTGCCGAGGCGAGCGAGCACCCAACGGCGAGCGCCGTTTAAGCACATTTTGTCAACCGAGGGGGAACCTGGCGGGTGGGTCCCCACCTTGTACGAGCCGCGCGTATGTCGCAGTGACCGTGGCAAACAAAGCTGAGAACATCATATGCAGGTAGGATTATAGCCGGCGACCCCTTTTTTCGGTTTAGTAGGATGACGAGCCGAGCCACCCCAGCAACGGCCCGAATGAACTTCTGCACGGCCACGTTCCGATCTCCGTCCTCCTCCCCGGCGACGCTGATCCGTCCCGATTCGATCATAGTGCGCGCACCAAGGGGTGGATCCGTCCTGGCCGTCGGACACGGGAGTAACGAGGACGGAGATCCACTGGCCGGGATTGCAGGGGCTGTCTGTGGGACAGTGCACGGATGTTAAATGCACAAAAGTGTAACTGCATTGTCCAATGGAAAAATCCCCCCCGGGACGTCGATGGCACAATAATGGGACCGATTATAATCTTGTCTACCCCCTAGGGGTGGTCTCGGTCCCCGTCGGTCCGTGTCATCCTCGGTCTATCCTAGCCGCGTGTCTCTGCCTCACCTTGCTCACCCTATCCCTGCCTGTCTACATGATAGCTAAGTACGTCGGCCCGTGTGTATCTTGTTCGGCTATTGACTACCCGATGCTCGCCGTCTCCCTTCCACCCTCTCTCCCATCTCCACTCTTGTCTCTTGTCTCTTTTCTCGCTGTCTCTAGTCCGGAGAAGCTTGCGTCCCCCGTTAATACCCCATGTACGACACGCCATAGCCTAATTAAGTGCGCATAATGGATACGACAGTTGTGCGTATTGTGCAAGGATACATCCACCGCCCCCCCCCCCTTCGGCTCGTTTCTACCGCTACTCGACGGATTCAACGAGTTCCCCGTGATTTTATTCCAATTTACGTTCCTAGGTGAACTTGCAGCGAGTCGAGATTCAATCTCAGGAATTGTTGCAAGTCTTGTAAACAATTTTATCTGGGAATATTTACTATAGATCGACGATGCAACCGATTCTCGAACGCATGCAGGATTGACTCGAGATTGGGGTAAAGGTATCCGCGTCGGATCGTGCACGCACTATCGCGCGACGAGCTTTCCCGCGATAAGGCGCAGTAGTATCGTCGTAACAAGCGTCAACAACTTGTCCGGTATCGAGTAACCGAGCCAACGTCAGCCAACTGTCAGGAGCGGAGACGCGCGTATGTATACGCGTTTCCTCGGCAGCTTTATCGGCTACCGAATCGACGATCAATCTCTATTCACGTCCGGCGAACGAAGCGACGAGCAACGAGAGCGCGTCACCAACGGGATTACTTGCACCGATCCGGCTCTATCCGCGACCGGGAAAGCAAAACTAAGCGAACCTGCAGTCGTAATGTATGCACGGCCCACCGCCTTAAACCAGTTTAACACCGAGTCGGCTCATTAAATAAATCTCCGTCTCGCGTTCCGATGATCGCTTCATTCAGCCAATCAATCCGCTTGCTGCACCGCAGCCATCGACCGAGCGTGTCGTACACGCTGTAACAACCTATCGAGGATTTCCTGCATCAATAAATCTAGGAAGACGTTAGGATTCTAGGACGTTTTACTTTTTCCTGCACACAACGACAACCGGTATTCCTATGGAAAGTTGAAATCGCGATAGGAAGGAGAAAGAAAAGGAGAGAGGAGGACTTCCGGTTCGAGAACCGAGGCGAGAAGAAAGTGGAAAACTGTACGAGTAATGGCTTTTTTACGAATATTAACGATCCTCGAGTGGTCCTTGCTCGATGGCCAAACTGTAGAAAGGTAGTAGCGTGTACTCGACGAGCAAAGAATAAATATGGCGGCCATGACGATTCAAAGTTCCATCGCTGTTATTGGAACAACCCTATAGTTGGTCAACGTCCGCGTTCGCGTTCGCGTTCACCGGGAATAAGAGGAGAGGTCGGCAAAGCGTGGTCCAGGGGGGTCGAGGGGAAGAAAGCGTGGGTGTAGGAGGACGAAACGGAAGAGGTGGTGGAGGCGGAGGAGGGAGCGGCAGTAGAGGGAGGGTTTCCAGCTCGACGGAGCCAATTCAGACCCGGAATTTATCCTATCAATTTCTGCTCGGTGGAGTGGCAAAGAGCTCGGCAGTTCGGCTCGGCGTTCGCTATATTAACGCTACAGAATTCTGCTGGCCACGAAGAGGCCGCGCGGAACAGCCACGCCGCGCCGCACGTTTCCACGCTTCTCGCGGATCTCGCCCGCCCCTTTTCCTCCCCCGGTTTCCCGTGGGGGCGAACAGCTCCCGTCGTCCGCGTTCGTCAGCCGGCGGATCTCGTCGTCTTCTTGTTCGAGTATACCCGATTACGTGGCCGAGTACACTTCCGGTAGTTTTTGTGCGCGATCCTTCCTTTCATCGGCCGGGGCTATCTTTTCGGATGGTTAATTGCGCTCGCCTCGGGCCGTTTTGACCGCGACATTATTAGTTTGGTCGCCGGCGAGGACGGTCGGCTGGCGACGATTGATCCACGGATCGGATTTCGGTGTCTTGTTGTCAGAGAGACGCGTCGCGTCGAAATGAAACTTTTAGAAGCTCGATGTTTAATTTCGAGACCGGGCTACGTTACGCAAAGAGCAATTTGCTCGCGACTTTGGTCGCTGTCCGATCAAAAGTTTCCAATGCTTTCGAAACGCACCGAAGAAACGACGTTGTTCGCCGCGGAGTGAAACAAAAAGTAGATCATATATTAATTAATTTACGACCTTCTCGGCGATAAAACAAGCCTAGTCGCGGTAGGTATTTGGTTGGGAGGGAAGCGGAAAAATATGAGCTCGGGTTTCGATCCCTTCTAAAAATGAATTCCGCCCGCGGCCTAGAGACGAGCAGAGAGACGGTCCTAGAAGAGTCGTCCGTTCACGTCCGTGGCGGTCTCGCAGAAAAATTAATTCCGTTTGCGGCTACCGCGAAGAATCCCTCACGGCCGTGGAAAAAAATCACTTCCGCCCTCGAGGCCCGAAGGAGATAAATTCCGTTTGCGGTCAAGCGAACGAGACAGCCCCCGACGAAACACACGGGGGATAAAGAGACGTTGACAAACGTTCCAACCGTTTCCCGGTTCAATTTCCATCGTCGCCGGCGATGCATTTTTCCCGGGCGAACGTTTCTCATTTTCGCGCGTCGCCTCTTTTCCAGCCTCCTCGCTCCGGGTAGCAGACGGCCGAGCGAAAGAAACAAAACGAAACGCAAAACAACAGAGACGCGAGCGGAGCCACCGCGCGACGGGGAAATAATTATTCCTAAAAATGCTAGCGTCGATGCTGCTTCCGACTACCCGCTCGTAGAGAATCGTACCCGGGTGCCTATCTATTATTTTCCTGGCCAGATTGTACTAATCGGTGAGACGAACGGGAGCGGCGAACGGAGGGAACGAAGATGGAAACCGAGAGACAGAGTGTGTACGTTTCAAGAAGCAAAGAAGCCAGATACACGGAACGCTGGATGGAAAGAGCCAGCAACCACCGGCCCCGGTGGTGGGAGGTGGGAGGAGGGAGGAAAGAGACAAGGAGTAGGCCGGAGGAGTCGCACAGGGATGGACCTCTTTAGGTTTAGCGGAGCAAATAATGCAGCAGGGAGAGCCTAGTCGGGCTTTCCATGCGGAAGACCAGCGAACCGATCACACTGATCTTTGCCAAAAACAATACCCTGCTCGCCTTTGAATTCCACTGGCAAAATACGGGCGCTAGCTGAGTCACCGTCGAGCTTGCGCAGAACGCGACAACCGAGGGAATCGTGCGCCCACCGACCACCACGTGCCCTTACTCCCTTACACCCTTCCTTTTCGTTACCTAAACAAGCCCACGTACGCCAAAACGCTCCATCGTTCTGCCCATTAATTGACGCTAGAAAAATCCTACGTTTATTTTTTTTATTTTAAATCGCGTACCTCGTATCCGAAACGCGTTACCGATTTCACTTGCCGACACACACGCAATAAACGTCCCCGAAATTGCGGTCGATAATAACCGTAACGTGATCGCGGATCGATTAATTTAAAGCTACGACGTGCCGGTGATGGCGAGGCCCGATCGACGAAGAAAACAGGTTCCGCAAGGATAATTGACTCGTGATCATTCACGAGTACACCGTTACGATATAAATTCGCCAAGGGGGTGAGAGTAATTTTTCAAGCTTCGTTCTCGAGCTACTGACGTCACGGACCCTT